CACCATTTGATCCAGCTATTCCTCTCCTCGGTTTATACCCAAAGGACTTAAAACAGCCTACTACAGGGACACAGCCACGTCCATGTTTATAGCAGCACAATTCACAATAGCTAAACTGTGGAACCAACCTAGATGCCCTTCAGTGGATGAATGGGTAAAGAAACTGTGGTGTATATACACAGTGGAATATTACTCAGAGTTAAAAGAGGAAAAAAACATGGCATTTGCAGGTCAATGGATGGAGCTGGAGAATATCATGCTAAGTGAAGTGAGCCAATCCCCAAAACCAAAGGCTGAAAGTTCTCTCTGATATGTTCATGCTGACCCATAATGGGGATGGGGGGACATGGAAGGGATGGAGGACCTCTAGATAGGGCAAAGGGGAGGGAGGGGAGGGAGGGGGTATGGGGGTAGGAAAGGTGGTGGAAGGAGATGGACATCATTACCCTAAGTACATGTACAAAGACACGAATGATGTGACTCGACTTTGGGAACAACGAGAGAAATGAAAAATTGTGCTCAGTATGTGCACTATGAATTGAAATGCATTCTGCTGTCATGTATAACAAATTAAAATTAAAATAAATAAATTTAAAATAAAAAATATATACAGAGATTCTGAAAAAGAACAAAATAGAAATCTCAAAAATAAAAACTCAATAAACCAAATAAGTTCAGTGGAGGTCTCACCCACAGACCAGCTCAGAGTATCGGATCTTGAAGAGTGTTTTAGTTGGCTGTTGCACCACTGTGCCTAAAAGGCTGATCAGAACAACGGTAGAGGAGGAAAGTGTATCTGGGGACTCACAGTCTCCAGGTCTCAGTCCATCGGCAGCTGGCTCCATTCCTCAGGGCTTGAGATGCGCCAGAACTTCCTGGCAGACAGTGTGCAGGAGGGAAGCAGCTCACAGGATGATCAGAAGCCCAGACAGGGACTCTACTCGCCAGATGCACGACCCCAGTGCCCACCTCCTCCAGCATCACTCACCACTCAGATAATCCCATGGGGTCACTGCTCTCAGAACCCATCATTTCTCCTCTGAACTTTCTGCACAGTCTCACACGTGAGCTTTTGGGGGACACGACGTATCCAAACCATAACAGGGTAGACAGACTGACATTCAGACAGTAGGAAAAAGTAAATAAGAAAATATGAGCAGAATGTACAAGAACTCTGGAACATCAGAGGACCACACTTGAGACTCGTAGGTCTTGAGTAAGGATTGGAGTTACAGGTTAATAAATAGAAAACTCGGGGCTGGGGTTGTGGCTCAGCGGTAGAGTGCTTGCCTAGCACGTGCGAGGCCCTGGGTTTGATCCTCAGCATCACATAAAAAACAATAAAGGTATTGTGTCCAACTACAGCTAAAAAATATATTAAGAAAAAGAAAACTTATGCAGTGAAACAATAGCAGAAAATTTCCCTGTTCTCAGGAAGAAGATGGACATACAGATACTGGAGGTATTTAGAACCCCAGATAGATAAGACCAGAAAAAAACCTCTCCAGGTCTTATTATACTTAAAATGCCAAAAATTCAGAACATAGAAAGGATATTAGCCATAAGAGAGAAATGCCAAGTCACTTATAAAGGCAAACACCTCACAGTAACAGCAGAGTTCTTAGCAGAAACTCTAAAGGCCAGAAGTGCAGGAAATGATGTATTTCTAGCTTTGAAAGAAAATAACTGTCAACCAGATTACAATATCCAGCAAAGTTATCCTTCAGAATTAAGTAGAAATCAAACCTTCCAAGATAGGTATACAGTAAAGGAAAACATGACCACTAATTCAGCCTTGCAGAAGACAGTCCTAGACACAGAAGAGACAGAGAAACACATCCAAGTAGCACAGGGAAAATCTCATTAGAGGAGCTGATACGCAAATGAGAATTAGGAATGAACCAGACATCAGGAATAAAACAAAAAGGAAGAGCACGTACCTCTGCCTAATAACACTGAAGGCACACGACCTTAATTCTCCAATTAAAAGTAGACTGGTAGATTAGACTTTAAAACCACACCAAACTGGAGGTTGCCTGTAAGGAGCGCATTTCTCAGTCAAAGACGTTCACCCACAGAAAGTAAAAGGATGCAGAATAGTATTCCATGAAATGGGATCTGAAAGTCCGCCGTGGGAGCTCTCTCACCCCTGGCTAAGCGGCCGCCAGGTCAGAATCGCTCAGAAGAGACAAAGAAGTCATTGCATACTGGTGACGGGAACAATCCACAGCAAGACACAATGATTATAAATAGATATGCCCTCGACATCACTGAACCCAATTTCATAAAACAAACACTACTTGACCTAAAGGCTCACATAGGCTCCAATAAAATAATAGCGAGTGACCACTCTCACTGATAGATCATCCAGATGTAAACTCAGCACAGTGGCTACAGAGTTAAACTATACTTAAATCACATTCACTTCATAGGCATCTGCAGAAGATTTCCTCCTATGGCTGAGTACACTTTCTTTTCATCAGCTCAGGGAACTTTCTCCAGAATAGATCATATATTAGACCACGAATCATTATCTGCATCTTATCAGATCATAAAGCCTGTGCACAGTGGCACATACCTGTGATCCCAGCAACTCTGGAGGCTGAGGCATGAGGAGAGCAAGGCCCTAAGCAACTTAGCGAGACTCTCTCTCAAATAAAAAATAAAAAGGGCTGGGGATTTGACTAAACTGGGCTCAACCTCTAGTACCAAAAAAAAAAAAAAATAGTGTGCAGATCATAATGAAATGAAATTAGAAGCCAACAGTAAGAAAAACTATGGAAAATATACAAATACATGGAGATTGAACAATACACTTTTTAAAATTTATTTATTTATTTGTTCTATTTTGTTATACACGACAGCAGAATGCATTTCAATTCATATACAAATTGCAGCACAATTTTTCATTTCTGTGGTTATTCCCAAAGTTGAGTCACATCATTCCTGTCTTTGTACATGTACTTAGGGTAATGATGTCCATCTCCTTCCACCACCTTTCCTACCCCCATGCCCCCTCCCTCCCCTCCCTCCCCTTTGCCCTATCTAGAGGTGCTCCATCCCTCCCATGCCCCGCCATCCCCATTATGGGTCAGCATGAACATATCAGAGAGAACTTTCAGCCTTTGGTTTTGAGGATTGGCTCACTTCACTTAGCATGATATTCTCCAGCTCCATCCATTGACCTGCAAATGCCATGCTTTTATTCAATGCACTGCCGCAGAGAAGCAAAGGAGAGGGATGGCACAGACTGAAAAATCAGGCAGTAAAGAATGTCAAGTTGATATTACACCTCGGAGAACAAAGGGCTAGGGCAAGAAGAGAGGGAAAGAGCAGGGAAGAGAGACAAGAAAGACAAACTAGAGAAGGAGCATAAAGGTGAAGCAGAAGCTAGGGCTGGGGCTCCTGGTGCAGGGCTGGCCTAGAATGGGTAGGGCCCTGGGTTCCATTCTCAGCACCGCATACAAACAAATAAAATAGAGGTCGGTTGACAACTAAACCATATTAAAATAAAAAAATTAAAGAAAGACTAGATCCAATGAATAAGTTAACACTATTATTATTTTGATATTTGTGTGTATGTGTGTGGTGCTGGGTTGAACCTAAGGCCTTGTGCATGCCAGGCAGAGGTCCTACCACTGGGCCCCACACCAACCCTTTTTATTTTTTTATTTTGAGGCAGGGCCTCGCTAAGTTGCTGAGGCTGACTTTGCATTTGTGATCCTCCTGCCTCCTGCCGCGGCCTCCGAGTTGCTGTGATCACAGGTGTGTGCTACTGCACCGGCTACACATTAACTTCAAAAGGAGAAGAGGGGTTGGAAAACAGGTGAAGGGGCTGGGGTTGTGGCTCAGCGGTAGAGCGCTCGCCTAGCACGTGTGATCGATCCTCAGCACCACGAAAAAATAAACAAAGTAAAGGTATTGTGTATAAGTAAAAAATAAACATTAAGAAACAGGTGAAGTTATATAAAAGGGTGCAATAACAAATAATGAGTGAGATTTAAACAAGCCAATACGGCAGACCATACCAGCAAAATCAAAAACTAACCTCAGGGGCTTCGAGGCCCTGGGTTAGATCCTCAGCACCACATAAAAATAAAAACAAATAAACCAAAGGCATCCTGTCTATCTACAACTACAAAAAACAAAAACAAAACAACCCCCCCCCAAAAAAAAAAAACCAAAAAAAAAACCCTAACGTTAAAATATTTAAAAACAAAACAAAACCCAAAAACGTCACTAATGTTAAAAACGCTGAACTTCCTCCCTGGGGAGGTGTCAACGAGGAGGGACTGTTTTCAGGGCCGTGGCTGTGCCGCGGGGAGGCCCGGGGCCCCACCTGCCCTTCCCCGGGGCGGAGGCCGGCTGCACGGCGGCTGCTGCGGAGGACGCGCAGTGCCCGCCGCTGGCCGAGAGGGGAGGGCTCCCAGACCCGCCCTTCTCCGGGTCCGAGGGCCGGTCCGAGGGCCGGGGCCCAGCGCACAGGCCTCGCAGCGGGCGCCGG